CACTGGGTGGATGGTGTAGTCAACTTCACTTTACTTCCCAAGACTTTATCTGGTACCCATTTCAGGTTGAGTCGACCTGGGAGCCAAGATCATTTTTGAAAAAAGTGCCGGCTCCGCCAGGACTTCAACCCACAGCCTTCGGATTGGCAGACAAGTGGCTATCTGTTATGCCACAGCGGCTCCCAGTTAAGATGAAGAAGTTAAAAAATGACAAGCTAACCATGGCGATGATGATACGATGAGTGTAACGTTGGTTGAGACAGAAGGAATGGAATTAGGACAAGAGAAATAACGAAAGAATGAAAAAAGCAAGAAAGAACAACAACAAAAAACGCCAGGAGAAACCCGGTGTGATGCCGCACATAGATGCGAGCAAACAGCTTGGTAAACATTCGTAGATGTCACCTTAGGCCTGGCTCACGTGACACACACGGCCGGTGATGACTCAAGCCTATCTTCCAGCAGGTTACATTTACATAATGGGCCTCTTCCCTAGCCGACAAACCGGCTCCGTTTTTTTAAAATCCTCCTCTTAAACAGTTTTTACATCGATATCAGGGGCGTCCACACAAAGAAAACATAGGAAGTAGCGCTCGTTCGTCTTCTTCGTGTTTAGGGAGCTCCATGATCTCGAGGCATGGTGTCCGCCTTCAGTGCTAGAGCTTCCGGGTTCAATCCCCGGTAAGGGTTGGGATTTTTTCACGTGGACTAGTAATTTCCCCTTTTATCTGGGTAGTGAGATCGGACGGCCGTGTACTGTGCACGTAAAAAAAAAAAAATCCCCTGGCAGTCGGAAATCGAAAAGATTACGTACGGCGCTGCCCGGGCAAAATTTGGGGTTAAAAATCTACCTAGAATATTTTAGGGCTAGAAAAATAGCTAGTAGTTAAATATTTCGGCGGTGCTACTGAGCTTGGGCACTGTGCTGAGCTTTTTCGGACTCAGAGTTGAGTTAAAAGAAGAATGGAGCTCCCGTGTGCCATGATGTTGATCCGTTGTTCAAAACCTTCAAAACCTCAAAACCTTCTTCGCGTTCGCCGGCTATAAAAAAAAAAAGGCGGAAAGTTTTGGTTGTTCGTCCACTTCTGCACTTTAGCCTTGTCAAGAACTTGAGTTTCGCGTGCACATCCGTTTCTTCAGATTTGGCTTATTTGTTTGTATACAGACTGTTAGCTCTTTGCCTCTCAGATTAAGGCATCTCGACTCTTGCGACATGATTGTTAGAGAGCCAGTGGGCCTGTTCTTATTTTCCCCACAATGGGGACACACAACCCAGACGTGAAAGTCAGTCTTCTTATAATTGTGTGTGTGAGGGGGGGGAGTGTGGGGGTGGGGTGGGGGGTGGCTTTCCCTGCCAGGGGGTGGTGCTTCGATGGCATTGAGTGTCGATAATTAAACTAATAATAATGATGATGATGATAATAAAAGTAACAATATTAATGTAATAAACACCAGATAAATATAATTATGTATTTGAAATGACAGGAAAAGTTTAAGAATATACTTAAAACGATAAAGTGTTAAAAAGGGGTGGTGCGGCTACCCAGCCCACTCTCCTTTCCCCCTAAAATGAGGTCCATCAAGGTATCTGACCCCTGCGTTGAGGCGCTCCTGTCCCATATATCTTTTCAGTGGAGGTAAGTTTTACAGAAACAAACTATTCCCCAGACTGGTAACAACACACCACAAAAATGCTTTTTTTTTTTTTTTGAAATATTTTTTGTGCGTAAATACGTTCTTATCAAGCGCTTCCTTTATCACGTTGAAGAAAATATCAGAGGGAAGGGCTTGAATTGAGGCAGCTTTAAAAAGGAAAGAAACAGAAACTTTCTGTCGTTTGTAATGTCAGGGATGAAAACCGGTTAGTGACAAGTCAGTGACGGGTCGTTTGGTGACCTTTTGCGCCGGTGTTCGAGCAGTTTGTGTGCTTGGTTTCAGGCCCAGGCGGTGTTCGCCATTAGTTTCATCATTTCAGCTCTCTGGAGTTTTTTAGGGTCTCGTTAAATTTGTTCTGGTAAATAGCTTGTGTGTATTTGTGAGTGTGTGTGCGTTCGTTTCTGTCTCAGCCTTCTTTTTCCATGTTCGCCCTTGAAAGGGACGTTGGCATGCTGTGTTGTGGTTAACAGCTAGACTGCGCCTTTCGGACCAAGACATCGAATTTCATCATACCCCTTTTACGACTAGCATTACAGGTAATGGGTGTATTACCCACCCCACAGCTATTTTGCTAAAAATGAAACTGTGTTGGAAGGTACCACATGACCCGCATGAGTTTCTACACGTCCAAAGTGATTAATGACTTGTGACTAAGAATTTAGTATTTGAATAAAGTCACAAATAATAAAATTGAACAATTTATAAAACTTTTGTTAACACAGTCATGACAATGCCGCTTGGAGGCATAAATTAATCATAAGCTATTTCTCGCTTAAACTGCATCTAGTTTGGGAATGGAGGTAGAGGCAGTCACTGCAGCCTTTCGCTGGCTTGGGAACCAACTCTACTCACATTCTGTGATTGTAAGTAATTCACAGAGCATGTTCACAAAGATGGAGACAGGTATTCTTGGTACAAAGTGGCAAGCATCGCTTCAGAGGTCCCAAGGAGTTAGCGTACTTTGGATGTTTTCACCAGAGATGATGGTGTTTTAAAAAAAAGAACAGGCAGGCTTTTTGATTCTGCTACATTGAGTGGTGAACTGTTACTTGACACTAGACATTTTCAGGGTCTTGGGGAGCCAATCAACAGTGCAGTACTTCACAATCTGAAGAGAATAATACAGCAGTAAGTGACCAGGAAATCTGACCAACACTCGAAACTCAGAGGAGAGGCGAGACGGACTTATCTACAGTCTTCTACTAGTACCATCGAAATTATAAATCTGCGATTGCTGCTGAAGATGAGGACAGAATGGTTACGGAAATGTTACGAGTGATGTGATGTCGATTCTTAACTCATCTCATATTTCTCGGCCTTGAGACATTTCTATAGGACATGCTTATCAAGATTATGAAGCAACATGGAAGACCATCCGCCCCCTTCGATCTTCAGCAGCACATATCCTGGAGAGAAAAAAAACCTGTTCATGCCATGACAAAACCGACGGCTGTCCCTTTGATATTTGTGAAAACTGTGTCTTCTTTAATTTGTTACTGTAAAAAGTAAACCTTAACTGTAACCTTTAGTTACACAAAAATAAATTACGTATTTAGTTAGTCAATAGATCATCTTCATTGCACATGGAACTAATCACGACATAACGGCTCATGTCACCTCAGTTAGTCGATAGATTATCTTCATTGCACATGGAACTAATCATTACACAACTGCTCGTGTCACCTCAGTTAGTCGATAGATCATCTTCATTGCACATGGAACTAATCACGACATAACGGCTCATGTCACCTCAGTTAATCGATAGATTATCTTCATTGCACATGGAACTAATCACGACATAACGGCTCATGTCACCTCAGTTAATCGATAGATTATCTTCATTGCACATGGAACTAATCACTACACAACTGCTCGTGTCACCTTAGTCAATAGATTATCTTCATTGCACATGGAACTAATCACTACACAACTGCTCGTGTCACCTTAGTCAATAGATTATCTTCATTGCACATGGAACTAATCACTACACAACTGCTCGTGTCACCTCAGTCAATAGATTATCTTCATTGCACATGGAACTAATCACTACACAACTGCTCGTGTCACCTCAGTCAATAGATTATCTTCATTGCACATGGAACTAATCACTACACAACTGCTCGTGTCACCTCAGTTAGTCGATAGATTATCTTCATTGCACATGGAACTAATCATTACACAACTGCTCGTGTCACCTCAGTTAGTCGATAGATCATCTTCATTGCACATGGAACTAATCACGACATAACGGCTCATGTCACCTCAGTTAATCGATAGATTATCTTCATTGCACATGGAACTAATCACGACATAACGGCTCATGTCACCTCAGTTAATCGATAGATTATCTGCATTGCACATGGAACTAATCACTACACAACTGCTCGTGTCACCTCAGTCAATAGATTATCTTCATTGCACATGGAACTAATCACTACACAACTGCTCGTGTCACCTCAGTCAATAGATTATCTTCATTGCACATGGAACTAATCACTACACAACTGCTCGTGTCACCTTAGTCAATAGAATATCTTCATTGCACATGGAACTAATCACTACACAACTGCTCGTGTCACCTCAGTCGATAGATTATCTTCATTGCACATAGAACTAATCTACTACAAGACTGCTCCTGTCAGCTAAGGACATGAGCTCTCTGGTGATTAATGATTATTCTTTGGTTTCCTGCACAGTGTTCTTGTCAGGCTCAATCTCTTCATTTGCTGTTCTTGCAGTCTGGTCTTGGCGGTAGATTCAAACATCACTGAATTCTCGCTAGTGTCCTTCTTCTCGTTGAACAGTCAGCTTATCTGCCTTGTAATACAAAGACGGCTAAAAGTCAAATCAATAGTTTCAATATTACTTCTCTTTATAAGTGTACAAAGTAAAGGACCCGTTTCAACGCCTTTAGGCTTTATGACATATAGGACTAGACTTATTTTTATAAACAAATCGGCTCAAGATGGGTGATGTGGTCAGCATCACACACTTTTCTTTATACCGTGATTTAAAATATCTGTAAAAATATAGTTTAATTTCATTTTCTGTTTTTCTTCGCCTAGATAATACTACTCCTAAAGATAGACAGACCAAAACATACGCGACGGCTAATTTTTCTTGCATCACTCAAGAAAAACAAATCAGTCACCAAACAACTAGCAAAGGACATTCTGAAAAGAGCAGACGTGACTACGTTCAGGATCAAATTCTGAAGTTCCTAACCTCGCTTGAAGTTTGGGCTGACTTATCCACCTGCTGATCTGTTTGTTTCACTTGTTGAGAAGGTGAAACTGTCCTGAGCGCGGATACAGCTACCTGTGGAGGTATTTTCAGAGATCAAGATGGAAAGAGGGGATGTTATGTCTGGGCTAGCTGAGCAGTTTATGACCAACTGGACTTCAAAGGTCTTCAGAGATCGATGTGTGGCTCAGATGTAAGTACAGTTTGTGTGCTCTTATTCTTCTCCTCCTTCTCCTCCTCTCTCTTCTTCTTCTCCTCCTCCTCCTTCTTATTTACCTCTTCCTCATTCTTCTTCGTCTACCCCTCCTTTTTCTCCTCCTTCTCTCACTCTTCTTTTGTTTCTTATTTTTTCTCCTCCTTCTTCTTCTCCCCCTCCTCCTTCTTATTTACTCCTCTTCTTCCTTCTCATTCTTTTTTTTCTTCTTCTTCTTCTTCTTCTTCTTCTTCTTCTTCTTCTTCTTCTTCTTCTTCTTCTTCTTCTTCTTCTTCTTCTTCTTCTTCTTCTTCTTCTCCTTCTTTTTCTCCTCCTTCTCATCCTTCTTCTTCTTCTCCCCTCCTCATTAATATTTACTTCTCTTCTTCCTTCTCATTCTTCTTCTTCTTCTTCTTCTTCTTCTTCTTCTTCTTCTTCTTCTTCTTCTTCTTCTTCTTCTTCTTCTTCTTCTTCTTCTTCTTCTTCTTCTTCTTCTTCTTCTTCTTCTTCTTCTTCATCTGCTTCTTCTGCTTCTTTACTTGCTCCTGTCTCTTTTCATCTTTCTTACTTGCCATCCTCCTTTTTCTTCTTTACTCCTCCCTTCATGTCATCTTTCTGTTCTCTTTCGGATTCATGAAATCACACCTATATTTTGATTTCACCAGAGAGGCAACAGCTGTAATTAGTTAAACTTTATTCTCCATTTTGGATTATTATTTTGCTTGTCTTTAAAGTGTTCTAGTTGCTGCCGTGAAAATCTAGGGAAGGTTGTAGCGACCTGAGAAATTGAGGATGTTAGAGGCAGTTGACAGAGGCAGAAAATGCTGGATGGACAAAGCGATCTGGGAGTCAAACTTATCAAGAGCATAGGGGATAGTGCCCCCCACCTTCAACCCCAAACATACGTCTTTGAAGGTCTTATTCTTCATCTGCCATTGATCTCCCTATGGAGCATAGGCCTTTAGTTCATGCCTATGTTGACGTGATTAAATTGTTTAGCTTTTTTTTTTTTCCTTAGAGAAGGTAGTCAGTCTCATCGTGATCTTTGATACGGCTGGAGTAAAATGGAAATGAAAGACCCGTCAGACTGGCTGTGTCTGCAGTGGGTGGTGAAAGTAGGAAATGATGTAGAAATGTTGACGGAGCACGTATACTGATGTAGAAGTGTTGACGGAGCACGTATACTGATGTGCTGCATGACATCGATGTTAAAAGAGAGGAGTCAGAGATGATGGCCCACACTTTAGAAAAGGGGATCAATCAAACCAGTTACAGGGTAAAGAAAGAAGATCTGCCAGTCAACTCCTACTGGGTACGTTGAGCCTGGAGACAATGAGATGGCGGCTGCTGCTTCAGAGGATGGAACATGGATAGGTCGGACTGATCTGCTAGAATCTCGATATAGATAAATTCAATCCTCCTTAGTTGTCTCTTATGATATGTATGGTATGTTATAGTGTCGTTATTCTTGACTTCTCTGACATATCCCAGTAACACACTGATGGTATAGAAGTTTGCTTGCTACATAATTACCTGACAACAGTGGCTGAGGCATCATTGCACTCTGTGGTTGAATCATTACATGGATTAGAGAAATTAACCGTATACACTAAAGGTGTTTTTTTTTTCATGTTATGACAAGGAGCTGTTGATTATCTCATTGTGAAAAGAAAATATGGGCTTTTGAGCTGAAATACTACAGAAAGATTCGCAGAATAACATGGACCAAGAAGAAAAGAAGTTTTATGTTTAGGTTTAGGTTTAGACAACGGATCAACATCATGGCACAAGAGGAGTAACCCATAAGTCCTCCTTTCTACTTCTAAATCAAGCCTGAGTTCGAGGAAAAATTAATAGAAGTCCATGTGAAAGAATCCCAGCCCTCACCAGCGCTTGAACCGGGACCTCCAGCACTCGAAGTAGATGCCATGCCTCGGGACCATGTAGCCCCCCCCCCTCCTTCAAAGAAGTACTGACATCAAGGTAAACAGCATCTTGTCTCAGAAACTCAAATATTTTGGTCATATCAAGTGCCATGGCAGATTCGAAAGAACTATAGCAGAAGGTCAGGTACCAGGAAAGAGGGGCAGAGGCCAACCAGCACGAAGGTGGACATAGGATATGACTGACACCTTGCGTTGGAAAGTACACAAAGCTAAAGCTCTGGCAAGAGACCAAGTTCCTTTCAGGCAGACCGTGATGAGAGCGACATTCTGCAACAGACTTGCTACAGCATAATTTCATCATCATCATCATCGTCAATATCAACTTGCGCCATCAAGCATTGTGGGGAGGACTTATTTGCAATCCAGTGCATGCTGGTTATCACTAGCTATTGTCATGCAGTGAAGGCAGTGTCTTTAATATAGTCGATCCATAGTTTTCATGATTGTATGAGTAGAATAAACTGGAAAACCTGGTGACAGTTGGTAAGCTTAATGGAAAAAAAAAAAAAAAATATGAAAACAAAGTGAGGAATACTTGGATGGGCCAAGAACACTAACTTGATAGGCAGGGAAATTAAAAACGGTTGTACACGCAAAAATCAGGTCCAGGTGAAAGCCAAAAGTCCAAACGGACGATTAACCGGGACCTTCCACTGGAATTCACAGCCGGTGTTCGATGAAAAAAAAACTAACTTGATAAATGATTCTGATCTTTGTGAGAGTTGGCAAACAATGGCTTCCTGTGCTAATTGCCATGCCACATGATGATGACTGAAGCTAGCACACTGGGAGAACATATCTTTTAGTACATTGACTCTTTGTTGGCTACGGAGCATGTGTGGGAATGTCCTGAGTGCAGGGTTGTCACATCTTAATTCATTCATGAGTACAGTGTTCCTCAAACTTGTGACACCCTCACCTCACCGGATGAAAAACACTGCACCTGTAGATGTTTCATTGAGCAAACCTCAGCCTTCAAATGTTGTTTGCCCAGCAGGTAGTTCTCTGGCCTGGAATCTTAAGCTGGTTCATTTCTCCGTTATTTTGCTGTTGACTTGGGATGAGGCTAGTCACCCCATTTCAAGATTTAAAAAAAGATTCTGCAGAAACCTTTACTGTAAGGGTAGCTAGGCTTTCAGGAGCTAACATGAAAGTGAAGGAGCATTTTCTTAGCTGTGAGGTTGAATATTGAATTAGGAATCAACATCCGCGCATCCTGGACATTTCTATGAGTGCTCTGTCCCTATCATCAACAGCAAGCACAGAGTTCCAATTCCAATTGCATCTATAACTTTCTGATTGTTTATCCATCTCACCTTTCCACAGAGCATTGGTCAGATTCCCTGGTCACCCCTCGCAGCTTCATTCTCCTCAGATCATGGTGATCTCTTGTATCTCTTAGACTGTTCCCTCGCTCCTAAAGGGCCCTTACAACATGTGTCCTTGTCATGCATCAATTTACTACCAAGTGATGTAAAACCAGCCAGTCTATCTGAATGTTCACTTCCCAGCACACCAGCATGAATTGGAGGAAATATATCAGAAGGGTAGCTTTGAGAAATTTTCTAGGTCTGTGGTGCCAGACCCAGTTTTATAAAATGGTAATTCAGTGGGTGATGTTGTCAGTACAATACCAGTTGCCTTTCCAACCCAGGAAAATATTCTGTTACCTTTTTTAGGCCAGGTGATCTGGGAGCATAGTTTTTGTTTCAATACCTGTCATGATTGGTTTTTGTACACAGACTAAACTGTTTACTAGTCTGTCTGTATTTAGCACTTTTTTAGGCCAGGTGATCTGGGAGCATAGTTTTGTTTCAATACCTGTCACGACTGGTTTTTGTACACAGACTAAACTGTTACTAGTCTGTCTGTATTTAGCACTTTTTTAGGGCAGGTGATCTGGGCGCATAGTTTTGTTTCAATACCTGTCACGACTGGTTTTTGTACACAGACTAAACTGTTACCAGTCTAAACTGTCTGTATTTAGCACTTTTTAGGCCAGGTGATCTGGGGCGCATAGTTTGTTTCAATACCTGTCATGATTGGTTTTGTACACAGACTAAACTGTTACTAGTCTGTCTGTATTTAGCACTTTTAGGGCAGTGTTGATTGGGGAGGGGGGGGGGGGGGGGGTCCTAAGCCGAATATTTAAGGCCGCATGGCTTGTGCTGTCATCATGGACTCAGAAGGTTATTTTTTAACCCCCGACTGAAAAACTCCATTCACCTTACAGGGGTCAAACTAGTATCTCCGGCATAAGAGCCTGACGTTGCAACCACCCAGTTAACCAACAGAGTTAGAAGCAAAAATGTGCTAGCCTCTAGACTCTTGTGGCAAACTATACCAATAAAAAGAAATCATTTGAATAAATGTCCGGGAGTCTTAGATACTATAAGATGAATGCTGGACATCTCTAAAGTTTCTTAGAAACGGTGATGAAATGCTGGGGGACATCTCCCAGTTTCTTAGAAACAGTGATGAAATGCTGGGACATCTCTAAGTTTCTTAGAAACAGTGATGAAATGCTGGGACATCTCCCAGTTTCTTAGAAACAGTGATGAAATGCTGGGACATCTCTAAGTTTCTTAGAAACAGTGATGAAATGCTGGGACATCTCTATGTTTCTTAGAAACATTGATAAAGTGCTGGGACATCTCTAAGTTTCTTAGAAACAGTGATGAAATGCTGGGACATCTCTAAGTTTCTTAGAAACAGTGATGAAATGCTGGGACACCTTTAAGTTTCTTAGAAACAGTGATAAAATTCTGGAACATCTCTATGTTTCTTAGAAACAGTGATGAAATGCTGGGACATCTCCCAGTTTCTTAGAAACAGTGTGAACTCGGAAATCTCTAGTTTCTTAGAAACA